AATGCCAGTGAAGCAAATGGTTCAAGTATAAGTTCAATACAGTATGTCTGCTTTCTGAGTGGAAGCCCAGCCAAGTGTGAGAAGGCTCTTCACCTATAGGCTGACCATTCAGTTATTGATTCATTGACTATGATGGCAATCCATAAAATGAAGAAAACTACAAAATGCCCCTTACCACTGTGTGGCCCTCTTCTGCATCTGTGGAGATGGTGGTATGGTAGAAGAGTGAATAAACAGTGCTATATATAAACATTAACTTAACTTAACCATTGGTAGGCTAATGTGAGATCCTTGTCTAGGACCAACAAGTAGACAGACATATTGCTGGAACAAATGAATCACATATGTAACCCTGGTCTCCAATGCTCCTTACCTGTATTGGATGACCATGGAGTTAAAGTGTTCTAATCTTTAAATGGACAATAGACTGTACCCCAGGATTCATCAGTTCAGTGACCACTTTTTGAATTTGGCTTTTTTTTGTGGTAGACAGAATTTTGTGGTAAAGGAAGAGTTAATTTCCCATCTTGATGGTTTGTGTCACTCCAGAAGGATAACAGCCATAGTTGAGGGAAAAATGATTCCTACATGCTTTTTCCTCGGCCCCTTCTTTGGGACTCTGGTAGACTATGGCTGTAACATAGTGACCCACTCCTGCACCCTTATCATTGACCACATTCTGCTTCCTTCAATTCTGACAAGAGAGACAAAGTTCTGATCACACAGTCCTAGTTCTGGCCAAAAATAGCTAGTGTTGGTTTATGTGGATTAGCTTCTGATCTGGTATTCCCTTCCTTTCCTGCCCCCTCTCCCCCCCGCCCCCGCCCATTAATATGCTGTCTCCAAATATAAACAAAGAAAATCTTGTCTGATGTGATTTATGATGGAGGAGGGTAGAGATTCAGAAAGAGGGTTTGAGCCCTTTAGAGGGACCAGAGACCCATCTTTGCGTCAGTGTGAGCAAAGAGATCCCTTATGAAAGTCCCACAATCAAGAGAGGGTATTAATATATCCTTAGGCAAGTGCAATTTCTTCATAAACAGGATAGTCTATAAGCAGAGAGATGTAATTTATATCATAGGCTTAGACCTAATTGAGATGAGGCTTTGGGGCAAATGTAAGCTGAACTTAGGAAGTACCAGCTTCCTTGGGATCTTTGTATTCCCCAAGATCATTTCAGTACAAGTAAGATGCCTGTTCATATACTAGACATAAGTGATAAAGTTCTCTACCCTCATGCCTTCCTCTCCATGGGGACATTATATACTAAAGGTAGAGCTAGGAAACTGTCATGTTGCTGCATATGAGTACCACCATCCTTTCTAAGCTAAATATCAATCTTTACATCCTCTCTTCCCACTGAATGAAGTCCAGATCTTTTCGGTCAGGGGTTTCTAACCCAATAACTGCATTTCAATGCAACTGATTTTCTTTGTTATTGTAAATATTTTATACATTCAAAAACATTATTCTGAGAAGGGTCCAGAAACTTCACCAGACTGCCAAAAGGGTCCATGACACACAAAAAAGTTAAGAACTCCACCTTTATGTTGACATTCAAGTTTTTTCCTGATCTTATCTCTTTTCCAACATTAACTCAGAACTCTCCAAACGATTTTGCTTAGCTATCCCCTCAATATACCTTAAGTTTCCTGCCTTTATGCCTTTTACTCATACTATTTCTTCTTGTGAAATGTGAAATATCACAATTGATATTTGACAATACTGCAATATCCTTCTGGTTGGCCTCTTCGACTCAAGTCTCTTTCTATTCTGGTTCAGCTTCCACCGAGATGTCAAATCGATTTTTCTAAAGTGTAGGACTGCGCATCTCACGCCCCTATTCAATAAACTCCAATAGCTCCCTCTTCCCTCCAGGACCAAATATAAAATGCTGCCTGGCTTTTAAACACCCTTTATAACCTGGCTGCTTCCTGCCTTTCTAAGGTGGTGGTTGTTGTTGTTTTTTACTACACCCTATCCCTTTTTATGCATTCTTTGAACCAATGACACTGACTCCTTGCAGTTTCTTGAACTAACAGGGATGGGGAACCTACACACAGAGCAGAACAAATCTTGTGAAGTTTGGATTCAAATGACCGCACCTGAAGACCTAGAGGGCCACAAGTGGCCTCAAGGCCGCAGGTTCCCCACCCCTGAGATAGTCCCAACTCTAGGCATTTTCCCGGACTATTGCCTTATCTGTAATTCTCTCCTTCCTTATCTCCACCTTCTGGCTTCCCATAAGTCTTAGCTTAAGTCCCATCGTCTGCAAGAAGGTTTTCCCAATCCCCCTTAATTCTAGTGCATTATTTCCATTTTATCCTGTGTATTTTGTACCTTGCTGTTAGCATACTGTTTCCTCAGGTCCTGTTTTTGCCTTTCTTTAGCATTTAGCACAGGGCCTGGCACATAGTAGGTGCTTAGAAATGCTTGCTGACTTGACATTAAAGACACTGCAAATCTGGCACCAGTTGACCTTTCTAGCCTTATCTCACTCTCTTTAGGATGTATTAGTTTGCAGGCAAATATTAGTTCTTCCTCAAATCCACCTAGTAGTTTATCCAGTCCTTCCTTTTAGTTATGCTTTCCCTTTGGCCTGGAGTATACATCTTTCCTTTGTGAACAGGTTGAATCCCTACCCATTCTTTAAAATAGAGCACAAATTCTGGTGAAATCTTTTAAGATCTCCACTAGTCATGATCTTCCTTTTTCCTTCCCCCTTTCTCACTTGAAGTAGCTTCTTCTCCTTCCTAAATCCACCCATTATTATAGGCGATATGTATTGGTTGGTTGGTTGTTTTTCTTGGTTCTCGAGGACCAAAATGACATCACTATGCCAGAGTCAAGTTTCAGGGTGTCAGACTGTAGATGATCAGACCGATAGGAGCTCGGAATGCTCTACCCCAGGTTGGGCACAAAGAGTCCGTGTGAGCATTTGGGGTGGGTGCTCTAAATTTTCGAATCTTGCCTTTCCTTTGAGCTGTTTCAATTCTGCTTTGCTCATAGAACACAGCACCTCCTCTGATGTGGGCATGCCATGCTGAATGGTCCTGTGCCAGTGTCTTCCATGTCACACAGTCAATTCCAAAGTTATTAAGAGAAACCTTGAAAGGGTCCTTGTAAAGCTTTTTCTGACCACCATGTGAGCGCTTGCCCTGTGTGAGTTCTCCAGTTCTCTAGTCTTTTTGGCAAGTGTACATTTTGCATTCAAATATGGCCAGCCCATCGGAGTTGTGATTTCTGAAGCAAAGTTTGAATGCTTGGCAGTTTAGTTGGAGAAAGGACCTCAGTGTCTGGTATCTTATCCTGCTAGATATGTGTTATAATAATCTATCTGTTCATTAACTCATCTCCTACTAGATTGTTAACTAGGTCCATGAGAACAGGAATCATCTTTTCTAAGCTTTTGTCTTTCCCCAGAACCTGACAGTGATGGGCATGTAGTTTGGGGCTTTTGGGGAGACTGTTTAAAAGCCCTTAATAAAAAAAAAATTCTTTGTCATTGTCTACAACAGATCCAGAACCAGTATCAAGTAAGACAGAATCTCTGAGTTGGGCAGTACCTCAGAGATCATCCAGTTCAAATGCTACCTCAATAAATATCCTTTCCACAACATTCCTGACAAGTGGTCATCCCTCTTTAGCTTGAAGGCCTCTGAAGGCAGGGATTACTTTGCTTTTTGTCTTTGTATCTGAGGTAGCTAGTACAGTGACTCGCATTTGGCTGCGCATAATAAAAGCTCATATAATAATAAAATAATAATAATAATAACAACTACCACTCAAATTGTGCTTACTATGTTCCAGGCACAGTGCTAAACACTTTACAATTATTATCTCATGATCCTCCATATAACTCTAGGAGGTAGGTGCTATTATTATCCCCGTCTTACATATGAGGAAACTTGAGGCAAATAGGTTAAGTGACTTTGCCCAGCGTCAAACAAGGTAGTTGAATTGAATTATAGATTATTATAGTTACATATAAAATTACAGATTATTATAGTTATATATAATATTATAGGGTATACTTGTACATGACCTCCTGCCCTGATGGAGCTTTGCCCAGTGGATGAATCTCAAGAAGTCTTTCCCAGGAGTGCCACATTGCTTCTGTTGTTTTTCAGTTGTGTCCAACTCCTTGTGTCCCACTTTGGGGTTTTCTTGGCAAACATACTAGAGTGGTTTGCCATTTCCTTCTCCAGCTCATTTTACAGATGAGGAAACTGAGGCCAACAAGGTTAAGTGACTTGTCCAGGGTCACACAGCTAGTAAGTTTCAGAGGCCAGATGAGTCTTCCTGACTCCAGACCCATGCTCTAGCCACTGTGCCATCTAGCTGTCTAACATTACTCATAGCTTGGTTGTAAAATTCATAGACTGTCAGAGCTGGAAGGGGCCAAATGTCATCTGGCCCACTGGTATCTGAATAAAAATCCTGCTTAGAATTTAAGTTCCTTGGGGGAAGGAAATGTTTCATTTTTATCTTTGTATTTCCTACTTAGTAAATGTTTGTTGATTGACTTATTTCTCTCCCCCCCCATTAGGCTGAGCTAAGGACTGGGTTTTTTCCCCCCTTTCTTTGCATACTCAGTGCTTAGCACAGTGTCTGGCACATAATAGTAGCTTAAGAAATGCTAGCTGACTGACGACAAATGGCTATCCAGTCTTTCTTTGAGGACCTGCAATGATGGGGAGCTCACTAATAATGGATAGCCCTGTGGGGCAGCTCTGCGTGTTAGGAAGGTTATCATGAGATGGGGTCAAAAAGAGCTTCTCTTGTAGACGTCACGCCTGGCACTAAGGCCCCTAGGAGGAGGGCAGACCAACCCCAGACGGAGAGAATGGGAGGCCCTCGGGAGATCCTAAGAGCAGGAGGCCAACTCAGGCCGAGCCTGCTCTGACTTCTCCCTGAAAGGCCAATAAAGGGCCAGGGCCCGGCCCCGTCAGTGCGCCGGACCGATGAGTTGCTGCACCAGTTTCCACGGAGGGACCGGAAATGGGGTAGGACCGCCGGAAGTAGGGGGAAGGTGCTGTGTAATCGCCCCTAGGAACCGAGGTAGCTACGAGTCTCAAAATGCCGGATTACCTAGGCGCCGATCAGCGGAAAACCAAAGAGGAGGAGAAGGACGATAAGCCCATCCGAGGTCGGGGCAGGGAAAGCGGGGCATGGGAGGGGTCTGCCGCCGGTAGGCCCGGGGAGGGGAAGCGGCAGAGGAAGGGAGGGAGGGTTTGGGGCCCAGGCCGCGGCCCCCGCTGCCTCCCTTCTGCGTCGCCCCGGACCCCGCCTCCCTCCCAGGCCCGCCGGGAGGGGCCCGGCCTACCCCCGTTTTAAGGGAGGTGGTTTCGTACTATCTCTGGGGTTCCTTCCAGCTCCGGGATCATCATTAATTCATATCTATTCAGCAAACATGAATTGAGCGGTCACCGCGCGCCGACCCCTGTTAGGAAGTGGGAGGGCTGCGACGGCCTGGTGGTGTGGCCGGGGAGGGAGAGGGGTTGACCTAGAGTGTCTGACCCCCAAGTGTATTAGGGTGGGGAGGGGAAGTGCTATGGGAGGCCTTCTGGGGAAAAGGTTATTGCTGTCTGGGGGTGTTTTCTTGGATATCTTCTGTTCTTCATTGAGGTCCGATCTCTTTTCATTATTGTCACATTGTCCTGTTCCATTAAAAAAGATCATTTTTCGTGGAAGTGTTTGGAGAATTCTTAGTTTCTTTCCCATTTGCTTTGTGCTATTTTCTCCTGTTAAAATGAATTTGTTGTCTGGCTAGGATCCTGCAGTTTAGATATGAAAGGTCCTCCTTTTACTACCTCCCTCCTCACTCTTTCCCAAATCTAGGACTTTTACAAATGAGGAGAGTAAGCTCCCAGAGGGGTTAAATGGTTTGCCCAGTGCCTCACACTAAGTGGTAGAACTGCCCTGCATTTTTTTCTTTGGGAGGTTATGAAGTATTTAGAAACCAGGAATGATTTTTGATCTCTCTTGCCTTCAGCATAATATCCAGTTGTGGTAATAGCTTCCTTATTTTGTCTTCTCCAGGCGTTTAGTTTGATTAAAATGTTTCTGCTCCACTCATACCTCATACTCAAACTTCTCAGTGTGTTCCTGTCTTCCACTCTGGCCTTATCCTCCCCTACCTTTAAATACTTTCAAGGCCTGTAGCACCCTTTAATGGAATGAGTACTTCTTCCAGCCTCTATTTCATATTTCCTGCTTTCTCTTCTTGGAAGCATCTTCTGAATATGAGAACCCAAGAAGTTTCTAGGACACCTGTTGGAAAACTTTGGCATAGAGATTTGTGTCCTGGAATGCCAGCTTGAAGTTTTACTCTTTGGGTTCATTACCTTAATGATAACCATAGTCATTGTTTCTTGTATGTGGATCATATTTAAAGTGAATAGTTATCTTTACATCTGTTGTATCTAGTTTTTTCATTAAATTTCCAGTAAAATTTCAAGAATTTTTTTTTCTTGAGATGAATCCCTTTAAAAAAAGACATAGCTATTGTTTTTTGATCTTAAAGCTAACCTATTGTCTCTGTCCTTTCAGCACTGGATGAGGGTGATATTGCCTTGTTGAAAACTTACGTAAGTTATTTGTATTACTGTAAAATGTAGGAATGTTAAGTGTAACTCAGAATTGTAATATGGTACTGGCCCTCAGTAAGCATAATTAGCAGGGGAATGATAGAGAAAGGAAATTAGTTTTTCAATTTTATGTTTGAAAGTATGAATGATTTTTGGGTATTTTCTCTGAGTAGACAAGAACTTCACGTATTTTTTGGTATGGATGAAAGTAAACTTTTGGGAGCTCATGGCAAGTCTTGAAAATAATTTCATTGAATATGTTCTTAGTCTTTTATATCAGAGGGTATGCTATTTTAAAAAAATTGAAAACTGTCTTAAGTCATATCTCAACCATTTTAATAGATTAAGCTTATCAGAATAATAGATTTTTCCCTAGAAGAACAGATTTCTTTTCCTATTTGCATTCTGGCAAACAATCCTTACCATTACTCACTTCATTACTTAGTTTATGATGAGGAAAAAGTTTCCAGATGTCATCCTGGGAACTTTCATGTTGGACAAACTCTTTAAAAAGAGTTGTTGGTTGTTGGTATCTTTTGTTATCATCTCCCTTCCACATGTATTCTTTTCCCTCTTGGTGAGTCATCCTTCGTAACAAAAAATTTAAAAAGAGACTCTTTAATAAAGGGTATAATTACTCTGTTTTCCTCCAAAATAATCTAGGAGGAATCGCATGATATTTATTGAAAGGAAGGCATGATGTTTACAAGGAGAAATCATGCACAACTGAGTGATTAGAGTTTTGTGAAGGGGATTATATACATATTGATACAGTGTCAGTTTCCACAAAGTCTTTGCCAAAATTCTACATCAAACATTTGAGGTATAGTATTATCATGGAGATTGAAGGGCTTTGAGATAGAAGACAAAGTCTAGAGAATTAATATTTCTTTATATGTAGAAAAGTAAAAAGTTGATCTTCTAGGTATCAATTCCAAGATTAGTTGTAGTGCTTTTGTAAATTAACTAGATCTCACCAAAGTCCTACTCTGATGCTTGTTGTAAAGCATTAGGTCTTTGAAAGCTATACCAGCAGAATGCAAGCTTTGGCAGGGCTTCCCAAGCTAGAAGAGTTTTGTGTATAGGCTCAATGATGGCTCATATGTGTGTATTACCTGAGGGCCAGCTTAGAGAGGTTTATCATCAGGTTTGGTCACAGAATGATGGATTTTTTGGCTACAGCAGCTCTTGAATATCATCTTATAATTCAGATATATGTGATCTGCTTTGGTGGGGAGAGTACCCTTCCCGACAAAATTACAGATACATGAAGTATAGGTGAACTGGAGAAGAGAATGCATGGTGAAACTCTTTGGTTCCCAGGTAACTCTAAGCTTTTCAGGATAATGAAATGCCAAGTGCAGGATTAAGGGTTTAGGAGTCAGATGACTGCCATATGTTGGCAATTTTGACTAACAAGTTTTAAGACTTCATTCTGAAAGAACAAAAACAGAAGGGGTGTGATTTGATGCTATGAGATCATGAGGGAGTGGGGAACTGGGAATAGAGGTAAAGCAAACTTGGTGGTTGTCACCGAGCCCAAGATGACTAGAACAGGAGAATACTTTGAAGTTTGAACGAGGTAAAAAAGATAGCATTGCTTTACATGTGGACTAGTAAATGTGTCTCCTTCATAAGAGGTAGTGCAAGCGAAAAATATAGATTCAAAGAAAGTTTAGATAGATAAAAGAAGTAGACTTATAATGGGGCTATTAAAGAAAATAGCAATATTCTTAGCCTTTAGTGTTGACACCTGCTATGCTTCAATGTATTTGATGTCTGCTTCAGAGAACATTGGGCAAAATCTGTATTTCTCAAACTTTTTAGTCTCAAGGACTTCTTTAAACTCTTAAAAATTATTGAGGACCTCAAAGAGCTTTTTTGTTTATGTGGGTTATAGCTATCAATCTTTACTATATTAGAAATTAAAATGTAAAAAAAAAAAGAAATTAAAATGGATACATTTTTATATTTATTAATTCATTAAAAAAGTAACAATAGTAAACCTACTCCATGTCAACATAAATAACATTTTCCTTGAATAACTTTTCCAAAATAAAAAAAAGTTAATAAGAAGAATGGCACTGTTTTACATATTTTTGCAAATCTGTTTAATGTCTGGCTTCATAGAAGACAATCGTATTTTCATATTTATTGCATTTAATATGTTACTATACATTATTTTGGTTGAATTCTTTGACAAAAGAGAGTCAAATAATGTCTTAGTATTATTATGACAGTAATTGTGATTTTGTAGATCTCTTAAAAGGGTCTTGGAAATTCCTATCGGTCTTCAGATCATACTTTGAGAACCATTGGGCTGGATGAGCCATGTGTATATGATGTGACAATTTTAATGTTCTTGCATGAATACTAAAAATGTTGTTGATTGCCATGTTGGAACTAAATCCTTAACTTAATCCTTAACCATAGTGATAACACTATTGCCTAAGATTACATTAATTAATATGTGAATTAACTATGCCTTTGGGTTGGCTTGCCTTTTGACCTTTAGGCCTTCCATGGAAGTGGGGGTTTGGGGAAGAAGAGGATATGAATACATACATAGATTTATGAATTGGATACCAATCATATCACAGCAGTAAAGTACTGAGATTTTATAAGTAGCTCAGAATAGGAAGTTATTGTTTTGCTTTATAAATTATTACACAAATTACTTCCTACTATACATAATCAAGGCTATGTGTTTCTGCATTGAATGGAATTTGAAATAATTTACATAGCAGATGTTGAGTTCTACATTAATAGTATAGAGATAAGTGAAAAACATAACCTTTTACCATATATTGTGAATCTTTGCCTAGTTTGCATATTTTGCTGTATCTATGGTTTTTGATAAGCTTTTGCTTATAACCTTGAGTAATAGAAGATTTGACTGTATTTGTAGTTGAAGGGAATAGTGTGAAAATGATACAAATATTGGATTGTCAGTCTTATAACCTTGGAGGCTGTAAGAAATAATAAATTTGTAGACCACACCTACCCCAAATTGGGTTCTTAGCTATAGTTTATAAGTTACAGTTGTTGATACTAATTAAAATTACTTTTCTCTTGTAGGGCCAGAGCACTTATTCTAGACAGATCAAACAGGTGGAAGATGACATCCAGCAACTTCTTAAGAAAATCAATGAGCTCACTGGTATGTTTTCTCCCTTTCTTCAGAAATGATGTGTGAGTAAGAATTTGAACTCAGAATTTACTTTCATTAAATGTAAATTTCCTGGATTCTTGTTTTTTTCAGCAAATGGAGTCTCATTTTATTTAACGTCTATTTCACTGTTCTATATAATTATTTACAATGCTTGTGTATTTTATTTATGTATTTTGTTATGTGTTTATGATATGGCTGCTTTCCTTAAGATAGGCATTTTCGAGACCAAATCTCAGTTTAGTAGACTTCATTGGAAGAATCCTGGTTTTATTATAATAAATTGACTATTGTCTAAGGCATGGCAATATTTTTTATTACATAGTTATTTGAAATGTAATAAATATTACAGTTACAGATTTTAAATTTGACTCTAAAATACAGATTGACACTTATTTCAGAGCAGGTTAATATAACACTTTTTAGTGACTTTAATATTTCTTTTCTAGGCATTAAAGAGTCAGACACTGGCCTGGCTCCCCCAGCTCTTTGGGATTTGGCTGCAGATAAACAGACCCTTCAGAGTGAACAGCCACTACAGGTTGCAAGGTATTCATGTTGCTCTTGATGTATTTCTGACTAATTTTGTCTAAAGATAAATCTAATAGACTTTGAAAAGTCCCTGACACGTGACATTAGTGTCTATTAAGAGTTTCTCATTCTAAATCCCAAGTAAGTTAAGCTTTCTACAAAAATTCTTTGGAGTTGACCCTTGGGAATTGTTGACACAAAGGAATTGATTTTTGTGTGATTTAACAGTCTTGATAAACTTTATATAGTGAAGCTTTTTAGTAAAATAGGATAGAGAAATTAATTCTTTATACAGATATTTTTCTGATTTGTTGGTCAGGTGAACTAGTTAAAGTAGCTGTTTTCTCTATACAGTGGCTTTTGTTTTATAAAGTATGTGTTTATTTTTACCATTTTCTGTGGGTATAGGGAATTATGGGAATATAGCATATCATTTATTCATAATTATAAATATGTGCATATAATGATTTCTCCTGTTAACAAAGAACAGTGATGTGACATGAGGAGAGGCAGTGTCAACTAGTGTAGAGAGAAGCGTAGGCCTCGCAGAGAGGCATACCTAGATTTCAGTTGTACCTTTGATACTGTCTGTATGATAATGGGCACATCATCCCTTAGCCTCTCTGATATTGACTGCATCTGTGGATTGAGAATAATAATAACTGGAACACCTACTTCCAGAGTTGTTACAAGGCTCAAATGATATAATATGTGTAAAGCACTTTGAGATATTTCAGGCTGTTAGAATTGGGGCCGATAGGATGTGCATCCTTGTGTTTCACGTTGTCTGTCATGCAGTATCTTGAGAAAATGATTCCTTTGATCTTACTTGCTTTATTTGACTCTACAACTTTAGTTTTCAGTAATATTACCTTCAGTAGTAGTTGCACCTTCAGGTCTCAATTTACTTTTGTATGGTATGTCCGCAGCATAGAATCCAGTTACCTTGTTACAGTATGGTAACTCACAGAGTATTTCTGTGCTAGGTGTACAAAGATAATCAATGCTGATTCCGAGGACCCAAAATACATCATCAATGTGAAGCAGTTTGCCAAGTTTGTGGTGGATCTCAGTGATCAGGTGGCACCCACTGACATTGAAGAAGGAATGAGAGTTGGGTAAGATGTCTGTTGACTGTCCTCTTCTTTCACTACAGATACTGTGACGCAGTGCACACTATTGTGAATGAATTTATTCAAGGCCAGGTATTATTAGCAGTGAAGTACTGCAGTCGTGTCTCCCCTTCCCTTGCTGCTTCCACTTCTTCGCCGCAAACTCCTTAAACCCCTGCAGATTGCTGTAGGTCCCCACCTTTCTGCTGAAACTGTTCTTTCTAAGGTCACCAGTGACCTTTTCTTTAAAAATTGTGTTATTGATGTGGTTTTTTTTTCATGTTGCAAACATTTGCAGATCACCTCTACTTCATGAGAGGTCCCTTGTAACTAAAACAGTTAAGTAAAACTAATCATACAATGACCGTATCTGAAAGTGTGTGTAGCATTCCAAGTCTGTGGCAACATTTCCCCACCTATATTTAAAAAAAAAAATAACAAATACATTTTCTTTCACTCCCAATCCACACCCCATTGGGAAAACAAAAGAAAAACAGATTTCTTGTAATACAAGCATAGTCAAACAAAACAAATAACCTGCTGATTGTACGAACACATATACACATGTATATGTGTGTTTGTATTCTACACCCTAAATCCATCACCTCTCTAATAGATTACATGTTTCATCATTGACAGTTTATACTATAACATTAATATTATAAAAGTGAACACTTTTGAAAACTTTCATAAATTGCTAAAGAATGAAATGAGCACAACCAGGAAAACAGTTTATATAGTAACAATAATACTGTAAAAACACTTTGAAAGCTTTGAGAACTATGATCAATACAATGATTGTTTATTACTCCAGTGGACCAGTGACCTTTTAATTGCCAAATCAGGTGATCTTTTCTCTTTTTTTTTGCTTTTTGGTGAGGCAGTCAGGGTTAAGTGACTTGCCCAAGTTCACACAGCTAGTAAGTGTCAAGTGTCTGAAACCAAATTTGAACTCAGTTCCTCCTGACTCCAAGGTTGGAGCTCTACCCACTGCACCACCTAGCTGTCCCTTGATGATCTTTTCTCAGTCCTTAACTTCTTTGACCTGTAGCATTTGACACCATTAACCAGCCACTAGGCTTTCAAAAGTTTACGTTCTCCTGGTTACCTTTCCATTCTGATCTGTTTTCTTTGGTGGTTTGTAGGTTTCTTGCCATGTCTAAAGGCTCTATCCACATCCCTCTTCTCTGTACTTACTCCTCTGAAGAAGGCTTCTGAATCTGGAGATCCGGCTCTGATCTTTCCCTTGAGTGCTCCATTTTCAGCTCTTGGACATTTTATTTACATGTCTTGTTGGCATCTAAAATTTGAACTGCTTAAAACTGACCTCATCTCCCAACTTTTCTTCCCTACTTTACTATTTTCTGTTGCTGATACCCCCACCAAAGGCTCAAAGCCTAATAATAAACTTTGACTCTTTTTTCTTTATACCCCTTTCATCCAGTCCGCTGCTGAATCTTCTGATCTTCCTCTGCAGTGTCACTTTTCCAAGATAAGCACAGGTCTGACCATGTCATGTCCCTGCTGAAAAGCCTTTAATGACTATTGCCTCTGTAAAATATAAATTTTTTAACCTGGCATAGATCTTTATATTCTCTGTCCAACCTACCTTTCTAGCCATATTTTATACTATTTTCCTTCATGCACCACTTTCCAGCCAGACTGGAAAAGTTTCTCAAATTTGCTCTGGATTTGAACTCAGGTCCTCCTGACTTCAAGGCTGGTGCTGTACTCATTACGCCACCTAGCTGCCCCTACTCTGTATATTCTTTATGTATTTGTACAACTTATATCCTATTCCAACAGTAAGCACATTGGTTTCTGCCTCTTGAAATCCTTCTCTTTTTTCAAGTCCTGACTCAGGTCCTATCTCTTCCAAGAGCCTTCCTTTGTCCTCTTTGTGATACAGCTAGGTAGTAGAGGGAATTGAGCTCTGGCCCTCGAGTCACAAAGACCTGAGCTCAAATTTGGCCCCAGGCACTTACTGGCTGTGTAACCCCGAGCAAGTCATTTGACTTTTATTTGCCTCAGTTTCCTCAGTTGTAAAATGGGGATCATGTAATAGCACCTGTTTCCCAAAGTTGTTGTGAGGATCAAATGAGATAGGTATTTGAAAACTGCTTAGCACAGTGCCTGGCATATAGTAGGCACTTTTAAATAATTATTTCCTTCCTTTCCCCTCAAATTATTTCCTTCCTTTCCCCCTACAGCACTTTGCCTACATCTTTCCTTTGATCTTACTTGCTTTGTAGTAGACATGTTATAGTTTCCTTCCCATCACACCTTACCATTCGAATGATAAGTACCTCGAGGGCAGGGACTGTTTTTCATCTTTGCATACCTATGTAGCACACAGTAGGTAGTTAATACATATTTGTTTAATTGAATCCCTATACTTACTCCTATTCTCTATCCCCAAGCCCGTTGGTTACATCTCAGTGATGGCTCTAGGTATCAAAAAGAGTCAATATAGGAACAAAGCGTAAGGATAAGACCTTTGTAATTTAGTTTGCCAAGCCACTTATATAGTTTGACCTAGCCAAGATATAGGGATTTTGGTACTTGTATGACATGGCAGTTAGATGTGAATGAATTCTAGTCCCAGCATTGTCCCTAAGTAATTGAATGATTTTAGGAAAGCTGTTTGATTGTTTTTTGTCTCTGCCTTAATTTTCTTAAAGGGTTGTTGTAAAGATGAGATGAAATAATAGATGATAAGCCCTTATTTAAAGTTTTTAAAGTGCTATATAGAAGTAAAATATATCCAGATATTAAGAAATATCAGCTTGTATTTGTCTTTATGGATTACTCATTAGGAAAACATTTGGAAAATTATATTCCAATATAAAATTTCAGTCATTTTAGTTATAACAAACGCAGTATGTAAGGTGAGGATTGTGATTGCCACCATAAGTAGGCAAATGGAGATTTGATTGACTTTCCTAAGGCCATAGAACTATTTGACAAATATTGACTTATGCTTTTCTTCATCTGTATTTAGTTTACCAACCCATGTAATAGCTCAGTATGAGCATGTTGGCTTCTTCTTCTGAACTTTCTCTCTGTCTTAACTGGAGAATGTCTGAATGAGGCTCTTTGTTTTTCCCCCTCAGTGTGGACAGAAATAAGTATCAAATTCATATTCCCCTACCTCCCAAGATTGACCCAACAGTTACCATGATGCAGGTAAGTTACAATGGGATAGGAAAGAAAGAGTCTCATTTTCTTTGTTGTTGCTGTTGCTGCTGCTGTTGTTTTTGGTGAGGCAGTTGGGGTTAAATGACTTGCCCATGGTCACACAGCTAGTAAGTGTCCAATGTTTCAGGCTGGAATTGAATTCAGGTCTTCCTGACTGTAGGGCCAGTGTTCTATCTACTGCTTCACTTAGCTGCCTTGAGTCTCATTTTCTTTGAAGTATAATTATGAAAACCTTTGAAATTTGTGACTGCAGCCTGTTCATATATATACATTAATGTATTAAAACCTGTGAGCTTTCTGTTAAGTGGGTTAACAGTCTTGCAAAGTAGTCCCCAAAAAAATGTGCATTGCAAAGTATTGATCAATTTACACATTTTGCTACTCCTAACAACACTAAAATTTAGATTGTTTGGGAGTTCCAAGGCAGTGGACTACATGTTTCATTTTTATTAAAGTCCTCATTTGCTTCAAGTCTTGCTTTTGGGTTATGGGTCTATATTTTTAGATATGGCACAGAACTGAAATTTTAAAATATATTGTGTATTTTTCCCTCTTAGGTGGAAGAAAAACCTGATGTCACATATAGTGATGTTGGTGGTTGCAAAGAACAGATTGAGAAGCTAAGAGAAGTAGTTGAAACCCCTCTGCTTCATGTAAGTGGTATTTCTATTCAGCTTTAAATTGCTTTGTATGAAGTGATGATTGAACATATATGTTTTTTGAGCTTCTGTAATTTATTGATTTCTTCATAGTGTAAGCAGTTTTTGAAAAAAACAAATATCCTTTTGAAGTCTGGAAGAAAAGAAGGTTGATAAAGGTCCAGATGAAAGCCAGGAGAAGGTTTAAAGGTTTTTAGAAGGGGGCATATGATGGAAAATAGAAGGAATTGTTTGTTTGATGTATTGAAGGGTTATTGTGGAGCAGGACCAGTAACTGATCTAAAGATAGCAATAGGAAATGGGTTTAAATTAAATTGGAAAGTTAGATGTAGTAAAATAATTATAAATGTAGAGAACTGGACATCAGAAGAAGCTGGGCTATTTTAATGGTAACTACTAGAGAAAAAGTACAAACTTTTCTGTTAAAATTTTATCAAAATTAGCATGAAATGTAAATAAGTTTTTAAGCTACTTTAACCATCACCTTGTGAACAGTGAGAACAAATTTATGATGTTATATAAATTACATAATATGTGACAGTTCTTTGTATCTGAGGCCAGAGAGTAGATAAAATTTCTCATTTAGACAAAGTATGTAAGATTTAGTTTTTAAAATTTTGGTCTTAAATAAGTAGGTACAAAATTCTCCCTTATGCATTAGTATTAATTTTTTGTCTTTGCAGCCAGAGAGGTTTGTTAACCTTGGAATTGAACCCCCCAAAGGTGTGCTTCTTTTTGGTCCCCCAGGAACAGGAAAGACTCTTTGTGCTCGTGCTGTTGCTAACAGGACAGATGCCTGCTTCATCCGAGTTATTGGATCTGAACTTGTGCAGAAATATGTTGGAGAGGTAAAGTTAATTTATTATGAGCAAAGCAGCAGCAGATCTAGCAGGAGATATATAATGTAGAGTATAAAAAAGGAAGAACTGTTTACCTGGATCACTCTTATGGTCCTGGGACAAGAAAATTATTGAATGATTATTAATTGCATTGTGTAGTTGAGCAGCTCAGAAACTGCACTGCTTTAATTAACCATACTTTCTAGTAATTTTGGAGCAGCACATGCTCCCTTGGAACCAGTTGAAGGATGCTGCTTTCTGTGATCCTGGTATTTAGAGCAAACATACCAGAATGCAATACAAGTACAAGGGAAAAGGGGCTAAAGTAATATCTCACTCCAGGCAATCATATTATTTACATACAATGCTAAAAATTCTAGCTGTATGAAATAGCTTGGGCTCTTTGTTCTTTAACATTGGTTCTTTGAGTGGTCTGTGTGGCAGTGATGAATTTATGAATTCAGAAACTTATATTTTAGGTGGAAATTGAGAATAATGGAAAGGGAAAAACAGCTTCTATCACTGATCACGATAGGTAAACTTACATAACAGTGAATACCAGGCAGGAGTTTAGTTTATTGGAATTTTTCTGTACAGAATATCATGTATCAGAAATGGACTTTTGGCCAGGGTTTTTTTTTTTTTAAGGGACATTAATCTGACCTATTTCAGACTTATTGCCTGCCTTTAATAGGTGACATGATCATGAAAACAGTATTGTTGGGTGGCTGTGTTGATAAATCCTGGAAAGAAAGTGTCATACTTGGGCCTCAAAGAAGCTAAATGTTGTAGTTGCCGAGTTTTAATAGATATTTTTTTGTAGCATTGCAAAAATAGAAGCACTGTTTTTGTTGGGTTATGCTTAAGGTTTTATTAAGCTGACTGAGTTATGTGTCTCAACTCATCTTTTTCTCACTAGGGGGCTCGAATGGTCCGTGAGCTCTTCGAAATGGCAAGAACCAAAAAGGCCTGCCTTATATTCTTTGATGAAATTGATGCTATTGGAGGTATGAGTAACATTTAAGCAAGCTGCTTTGGGGTCAGAATTTATAAGAATTATAAGGTGAAAATATAGAAATCTTTACAGTGTAGTAACTATGCTATATACTAATTTATCAGCTCTAACATGTTTTAGAGGCATATCTCTGTGAAAACTAATATTTTAAGAGAATTTTCTAAGCAAAAATAGAATAGGCTATATTTAGATAAGCTTCTTGAAATAGCTACTAGAAAAGGCTCTTTTTCTTCTTCTTACTATACTGGACTCTTTAATACTTGGATTAGTATACCATCCACCATTCTAATGTTGTTTAATGGTGAGAATGACTTAAATTGACAATGGGACCTTTCTGTAATGCTAGTATTGGGCACAGTTTTACTAATGTCCAACTTACAGATTAATTTACATTTGGCTTTTTTATATGTAGTAATATTTCAGGGGACATGAGTTAACTCTAGTATGTATAGGTATATACTTACGTGATTTGAGCAACTTTTTCACATACTGTCAATTTTAAAAAGTCACACCGTTACTCTATTCCGTATAGAGTTTAGTGTATTACATATAGAAATTAGAAAGTGTTAGAGAACTATTTATTGTGATGGGGAAGGGCCACATCTGACTTAACCTGAGATATATCCAGATTTATGCAGTTCTAAGTTGTGCTATAACAGTGTTCTCTTGTATTAGAAATTTTAAAAGATCCTAAGGTCATGCATTTAGAGCTAGAAGGGACCTGGAAGACCATTTAGTTCAACCCCCTTATTTGTACTAACAACAGTAAAGTGGAAGAGTTAGAACGCTTTCCACTGCACCATGCTGGAGATGTTCAGTAATTTAGGAAAGCAATGCAACATTAGTCCTGCATTGTTAGTATACTTTATACAGGATTTCTATGATATAATGTTATCCAGATGTTTCACAATAAAAGTAATTTGTAAATTGAAATTTTGTTTATCAGGTCATTTCAGGTGCAACTGTTTATAGGAAGTTTATGTTGAATAAAGCTTCACATTGAAATAAGATCTACTTTAAAGAGATGTAACTGGATATGTTCTTCAGTGGGGGAGAAGGGAGAAGAAATTGACCAATTATTCCTTTAATAAGAAATTGCTGTATTTGATTATTAAGTGTAATATACTGTGTTGACTTTTGAGTGATTTCTTTAGAATTTGTGAAGTCCCAGCTCTGTCTTTGAGAAGAAAAGAATAAGGCTAAAGGAACAGGCTAAATTTATTTATAAGCTTTGGAATGTATTTACTATAAAGAATACATACTTTGCAAGATTTTTAGTTGGTTAATTGAGTGCTATTATTGTGTGCCTTTTTCCAGCGTAGTCAATATAGAAAGTAAACATGATCAAATTTTAGGATAATATCTACCTTTTATGAAATACTATTTTTGCTTTGTAAATTGCAGTAATGTAGCCTAACAGTTTTCATCCTTTTTAGGTGCTCGTTTTGATGATGGAGCTGGGGGTGACAATGAGGTACAACGAACCATGTTGGAACTTATCAATCAGCTAGATGGATTTGATCCTCGAGGTAATATTAAAGTACTGATGGCCACCAACAGACCTGATACTTTGGACCCAGCATTGATGAGGCCTGGGAGACTGGATAGAAAGATTGAATTTAGCTTACCTGATCTGGAGGTAAGAAATTTATTTTTACTTTAGAAGTACTTCTCCCTGCCCCCAATACTTCTGCGATTTTAGCAATGTTTATTTATCTGTTTTTAGGGTCGGACACATATTTTCAAGATTCATGCTCGTTCAATGAGTGTTGAAAGAGATATAAGATTTGAGTTGTTAGCACGGCTGTGTCCCAATAGCACTGGTAAGTGAATAGTTTTGCTCATTGCTTGATTATTCTGTCCATTTTGCATTTATTCAGTATCTGAATAAAGTTGCCTTTTTTTTTGTATTTGAAAGGTGCTGAAATCAGAAGTGTTTGCACTGAAGCAGGTATGTTTGCAATCAGAGCGAGACGAAAAATTGCCACCGAGAAGGATTTCTTGGAAGCTGTGAATAAGGTCATCAAATCATACGCCAAATTTAGTGCTACTCCCCGTTACATGACATACAACTAATCATTGGAAATTTCCAAAGCATATTGCTTCTTCTCAGTTGGAATAACTTGTTCTTATAAAGAAAAATCTCAGTTCCATAGACCTGTTTAACCATCATAATTAGTACTTAACATACAAATAAACTTTTTCCAAAGTTTGTTTTTTTTTCTTTTATTAGACTCGCTATTTGTGTGGGAAAATAAAAGGGGGAAAAGTTTACAGAAAGATTGTTAAAAGGTTTTCTAATTTTTGATACCACAACCACTTTAGGTCTTGGTGTCATCAGGACATAAAAATAGGAACCACTGTAGTGGATTTGGTAGCAGGTCGAGGTTTTCTCCCTCTGAACATACTTTTTTTTTTTCCCCTCTTAATATGAAGGCGGAGTATTTGATAGCAAGTGGTTTTCTTTGGCATTTTGACTATAATTCAGTGAAGTAAGAACTACAGTTGGTATTGATAAGTCATGAAATGACTAGAGTGATAAGGCAGAACAAGAAAAATTAAATACAGCCTGGCTTAAAATCCCTATTAGTGTCACTCACCTTTAGATAATCCCCAATTGACTGTATAAATAAGTTGGCAAGTGACATGGGTTGATGGAGTCTCAAAAGTGCCATTCCCCACAACTACACTGGCTGGAGAGATTGTCTCTTGCTCAGAGCTGGAGGTTTCCCTAGGGCCAACCCTTCTGTGGTTAATCAGGTGTCTTCCCCCACCCCTCAAGCCATCCTGCTGTTCTGGTACCTGGATGGAAGCTTTAAAGCTAGATTTCAGTTCCATATAAGGAGAGATTTCCTGTCAAATTAAAGCTGTCCTAAAGTCTTAGAGAAGACAAGGAGTTCCCTCTTATTGGAGGTCTTCAAAGAAAGGCAAGATGATCACTTGTTGGGGATATAGAAGGAACTATTAAGGTCTAGTTGGACTTTATGGCCCTTGCAGTTCTTACAGTTTGCGATGTTGTGATTGAACAATTAAAATTCATTTTAGAGCGCTTACTGGCACTTTATTTTTAAATAGACTCTTGAAAGCCCTTAATTAGGTATTTTAAAGTAATTTTTGCAAGTAGCTTATTCAGCAAGAAAGAGATGGACAACTATTTTAATTGCATGTTATTTAGGACCTGAGTTTGAAGTTCAGGTCTATCCGAAACTGGTCAAGTTTCATAGCCTTTTTGGTCCTTAGTTTCTTCTCTTTAAAATGGGGCGGAGGGGGTGATGGTAGGGTTTCAAAGAGTTGACCCTTAAGGTTCCTTTTGGCTCCAAATCTATGAGTCTATGAACTATGGGGGGAAAAAAAACTCCAACACCACAGATATCCAATAGCCAAATCTATTTTAAATTCACAAGGAAAAAAATAGAAAAAAAAAGGAAATTCTACATAGTTTTAAAAATTAAAAAAGTATCAAATACTGACAATTGAAACTCATCCATAGTTTTCATTCTTGATAATTTCACATATAAAATGGATCAGACAAGTCCTGCTTTTCTTTTTCCTACTTCTAGTCATTCCCCATGCCCTGTACCTTTTTTGAATTGTAAAACAAAGTAAGCCAATAACAGGTTAAACTGAAAATAGAACCATAGATGACTGAAGAAGTGTATGGGATAAGCAGAATACTTAAGCTTTGTAGGGTTCACGATTTAAGTAAATTTAATTATAATTAGGTTATGTTCTCAACAATCTTTTCATTTTCACATAAAACTATATGATGTTAGATTCTAATAATAAGTGCAAAACTCAGCTTCAAACTCCAGTCTGGAGAGGTTATAAGGAAGCTTTTGCTTGTAATGGAAAGAAAGTTGAAACAGGTTCTGAACAATTTTTGTCTTCTGTTACAAAGCAGAAATTCAACTTCTCAGATATCAAGGAGGCAAATGAGTATTTTAAGGTGTTGGTTGTTTATACCAAACAATAATATACAGCTTAACAAGTAATATTTTGTATTTATTTTATATTTACTTTTGTGATATGCAACTGGCCATTGCTAAGATTTAATTAAAGCTGAGTCATATATGTTACACCTGATTTTAAAAAAACTTCCTGTGGGAATATTTGATCTGTTTTCTGGGACTGCTTCTAAGAACATACTGCTATGAAAAGTGGGAAGTGCCTGTAAATATTCAAGAAAGGGCAGTTTAAAAAAAGACTAACATAGATGAATATCTCAAAACAGTACAGGTGTGTCCCACTGAAAAAATGATGTGTGAAAACCCACGTTTCAAAGTCCATAAAATTAGTGAATGATAATTCAAAATACAAAATTAAATTTTGCTTCAAAAGAAGAGTCACTATAGATTATTTTAAATACTACGTTTTCTTTAATACCTTTAAAATGTGGTGGGTGTATAAAAACTTGTTTTATACAGTTTTTCCAAACCATTTCTTATACAAAATGTAAGGTACATTGGAAGAATTACTGAGCCATTCTTATTCCCATGTGGTTTTGTGAGCACAGATTATACCAAGTCATTTGGATAATCAACGTAGATCCTGCTTTGAGAAATGAGTGAGCAGGTAGGCTACTTGTAATATTGCTGGCTTTTGAATATTTTAACAATTTTGTATTGTTTTGACTTGAGGTTATTTCAAAACAGTATTACAGCTGTATTTTAATTTGCTGTGTTTTAAATAGCTTGCAATACTTTCATCTGTCATCATTACATTGTTACATTAGCAGGAATCTAGACACACCAAGGCAACTGTTCCTTTTAAGTATATTGTTGAAAGTATACAGGTGTTAAGAAGGCCTAGAGCATTTTTGTATTGGTTATAGCAGACAGTCAAATGTCATGCAGTCTTGTATGATTTCAGAATTAAAATTGCATTATTACCTTTAAAGGGGCGGATAACACACAGACACACACACACCCCTTACTTGGGCAGACATTTTATCCCATCCCCACATAGGGGCACACAGAAGTAGATACAAACCCCTTCCCCCAATCCCCACACAAAGGCACACAACCCACCCTCTCCCTCCCCTCCCCCACAACACACAGAGACACAACCCACCCCCTTCCCTCTCCCCCTCCCCCCATTCCCGGGGCCATATTTAATTTATTGCCTCCTTTTCGTCTTCCTACCTGTTCTTAGACACACATACCTGAGAAGACAATATACTCCCCACACCAAAAATGTCAGTTATCACATAGAAATAGACACTTTTCTTCATTTCTATAGAGACAGCTATACGAAAGGAGGTACACAGGATATGGTATTGAGAATAAAGCCTGCAGGAATAAGCAGCAAATAGGAGGACCTAGAGAGGAACCGTATCATCCTTGTGTACTTGAGCTCTGAGAAGCAGCATGGATGGTATGGAGAGTATTAAGCTTATATGAAGATGTGTTCCACCATGGTCTAGCTGTGTGGTGAGCAAATAATTTGAATAGCTGATATTTACATGGCACTTTATGGTTTGCAGAGTGCTTTGCATTTGTTATCTCATTTTATCCGAATAACAGCCTAGTGAAGGAAGTGCTACAGGTGTTATACACATTTTTTTTTTCAGCTGAGGAAACAGTTTCAAGAGATCTTAAGTGACTTGCCATCATCACAGCTAGTGTCAGAGCTGCGGTTTGAGCCCACCTAGATCATGTTTCCAAGCTGAACACCATTTCCATGATACTAGTGCTTCAACAAACCTCTTGGGTTCCGTTTCCTCATCTGTAAAATGGAGAAAATATACTACCTACCTCATTGAGTTAGAAGGAAAGCACTTTGTAAACTGTAAAGCACAATATAAATGTTAATTGCTAATTACTGATGGTAACCCTCTCATCAGCTACTTGCAAGTCTGTAGAGGTAGCCTCTGCCTGGTCCTGAGAATTCCCTGACCCCTTTGCTGAAAGTCAAACATGCATTCCTACACTGACATCATACCCATACTTCTGTATAGATCAGCAATGGTAACTTCACTTGGAGTAGGACTTGGGCGGGCTGTATTGGATGATTACTTTTTTCACAGGTCTATCCTTACTACAAGAATCCTCCAGATCGTAACAAAAGATTGCAATGGCAGGGGAGAGGCCCCAAACCCATTAACAAATTGCTTGGAACAGAAATTGGGTAATATTAACCTAAAAATCATCTATGACTTTCTAAATTTGATGGCAGAATGATATAAAGTATGGAAAGCCATAGAAGTAGCAAGTTAAATGTCTTGGGGTATCAAAGCAATAAAGCAAATAAAGCCCCTGTATAGTAAAATCCCTAAATCCTACTTGTTGTAAAAATAGGTAATTTTAATATATCCCATTTGCTGTAAAAATAAGTAATTTTAATACATCCCACTATCCTGCATAAATGTTTTACCTGAAAGGGACCTTGATTTTTGAGTGTAACAGATTTGAAGAAACAAAATAACTGATTTTAGTAAAATATATTCCCCTCCCTTCACACAGGACTTTCTCTAACAGTTTTTATATACATGTCAAAATTCTGTTAAAAACAAAGAACAGAAATAATATGATACAGAAATAAAAAATGCAGAAAAGGTTAAAATATTGTAAGATAGAGAATCAGAGTTAACCAATCAACAAATATTTAGCACCTGTAATGTGCAAGGTATTGCTTTAAGACCTTTTTTGGTGCTAAATCATATGTGATCCAAACCACACTGTATCTGTTTAAAATCCTTATTAAGTACTGTTTAAATCACTGATACTGAAAAAGATGACAGACCTTTTAGAAAACAGTTTCTAGAATATACAAATTTTGTAACTACATGCTCTTTCAGAAGGCAGTCTGTATCAGAAAGCAGATGTATCTGATCTTGTGTACGTTATTAAGGAAAGGACAATACAGAGACCAAGGGAAATTTGATTATGGCATGTGGAAGTAGCAATAGCAAAGTGACTGAGAAATACTTTGATTTGAAATAAGGGGAGAAGATTTAAGATTTCATGTAGATCAGCAATATCACATTGCTATGTACTAATCTGGAGAAGAAGAGAAGGTAGGAACCAAAGGACAGACATCTCTTTCTCTGGCATTTCTTATTAGGCTGGCTGAGAAAGGGAGACACCAGGGAATTAGAAAAGGAAAACTCACTGTTGCCAGGAAATGTGCTCCCTTTGCTCGAAGACCTTTTACCTGATTAGATGCCAACAAGCAAGCAGGTCTTATCACAGTAATAAGTGCAACAGTAAGAGCTTTTGATGTCAAAGTGACCTGAAGTAGCCCAGCTATGTCAGAAAGGGATTTCTACTTTGAGTATAAAGATTCAGGACGAGTTGAAAGAAGTGTTTAAAACCTGAGGACAAAACCAGGATTAAATTAAGCTGTGACTGATAACCTATATTGCTGAGAAAGGTACCAAACTGTACCTACCTACTTCACTCTTTAATATTTATGCTTTGTTGTATAATGAAGTGTTCTACTTTTGTTCAAAAAAAAAGTTTTTGAATGGAAGAGTTTGCTTTTCTCTACCCTTCAGTCATATCTATTAAAGGCTATCTGATCAGACTGAAAAATTAACCAACATACCTCCACTCACCCTGGCAGGGGCTCATCCTCATTAGAAAGGAACACTGTATATACTAACTGTATATAGAAGCAGATGTAAATTCTTTGTACAAAGCAGAAGAGGTTGAGTAATTTTTTTGAGAAATAATTGGACAGAAAAAATACAAGTGACACATCTTGAGATGCTTCATTCACCCTCCAAATCAAGCAGTTCTCAACTAATAGAAATCACCTACAGAAGTGAAAATCCTTAATGTCTGGTATTCACAATGTCTACCTACTTTCACAGGAGGCAGTTTAATGCCCCTTCTATGTCTCTGGGTCAACTATCGGCTCTGAGTCCTCCTCTGGAGGTGGGGCTAAGGCTTCTTGCTGTGCAAGGGCTTCTCGAACTTTAGCGCCTAAAACTGCATCATGAATGCTGTGGAATAGTAGCTCCTTTACACATGGATTCTCAAAAAACCTGTTTTGGGTGAGGTCATTTACAACTTGGGCTGTAAGAGAAGAGGAACAAATGAATTCATCCTTTAGGTCTCACATTTAAACATAATTTCTAAATGTGTATATGAAAAACAATGTAAATATATAAATACATATCTCTATATATGATACAGATGATGTAAAACAGAAATGGTAATCTGTTAATGGGCAAAAGATTTATAAAATTATTACTGAAACAGACACATGAATCCATTTTATATTTATGACCATCTTCAAATAACACCTAAAGCTTTACCAGCCCAGAACAAAGATGAATTAGTCCATATTTTTCCCAGCCTAGCTTTCAGAAGGTTTCTACACACAAGTAAATAGTTGAGTTTTAACTTTTGAGTGATTAATTTTCAAACCTGGTTTTAAGGGTGGTTTTTGGTAAATTACTTGTTATTAAAAACTTTAAAAGGCTAGGAAAGTTTTCAAAACACAAAGGAACCAAAAATATGATAAAATTTCTCCCCAGATTTTTGTCTACTTACCACTGCATGCAGCTAAATATACATAAATACCAACATCTCCATATTCTTTTAGGATCTGTAATAGTATTAAAATAAATTTAGTTTCCACTGATAGGTTTCTATGTCAATTAATCAATCAACAGGTATTCATTAAGCACCTACTATCTATCAAGGCACTGAGGATACAAAGAAAATGAAACAGTTTTTGGCTTCAAGGGACTTACATTTTTGATTAAGGAAGACAACAGGTACATATTTAAGTACTTGTGCCTATATACATATACAAAACACATGCCAAATAAATTAAAAATAATTTTTTGGGGAAGGCCTTAGTAGCTGAGAAGTTTAGAAAAGTCCTCACGCAGGAAATGATACCTTGAAGGAAACAAAGGATTCTGAGAGGTGAGGAGAAAGTGCATATCACATTCCTGGCAGGAAGGATGTCTAATGCAAAGGGGCAGTGATAGGAAACAGAATGTAGCGTGTGAGAGATAGCAAGAAGGCCAGTCTGGCTGGACTGCTGTACTTGAAGGGAAGTAACGTGTAATAAGGCTACAAAGATAGATTGGAGGAGCCATGTTGTGAAGAGTTTTAATGGCAGACAAACATGTATTTGATCCTAGAGGTAATAGGAAGTCACTAGAATTTATAGGAGTGGCACCTGGATGTTATGAAGATCACTTTGGTAGTTGTATGAAGGAAATTTTGAAGAGGAAAAAGACTTGAAGCAGAGAAATCAATTGGAAGGGTAAATTTAAAAAATTAATTACTAGGCAACTGGTGATGAAGGCCTGCACTAGGATGGCGGCCATGTGAGAAGAGAAGAAGAGATGGATATAAGAGATGTGGAGGTATATTAATAAGACTTGGCAACCAAATGGCTAAATGGCATGAGGGAGGGAGAAAAAGCAGGGACGTACAATACTGGATGGTTGGAAGTATGGTGGTGTAATCAACAGAAGTAGAGAAGTTTGGAAGAGGGGTGGGCTTTGGGACAGAGCTAGTGAGATTCTATCTTGGGCATGGTGAATCTGAGATGCCTATAGGACATCTAATTGAAAATGTATAATAGGCAGCTGATGATTGGGACTGGAGTTCAAAAGAGAGAGGAGAGCTGGATACTAGGATATGAGAATCATCAGCTGGAGATGATAATTAGAACCATGGGAGTCAATGAAGTCATAAAGGGAAAATGTGTAGAGGAAGAAGAGAAAGGGGGCCTGGAAGGAGCACTGGGCTCAATACACAGTTAGGGGGCCCAATGTGATGATACAAGAAAGGAGACTGAAGAGTGGTCAGAAAGGTAAGGAACAACCAAAGTGAGGTAATACCATGCAAACTTAGAGAAGAGGGAGGATATGGGAGAAAAGAGGTCAGTGGTGTCAGCTGCTACAGAGAGGTTGGAGGCTGAGGACTGAGAAATAATTATTAGATATGTCATATAAGACATTATTGGCAACTTTGGAGAAAGCAGTTTCATTTGAGTGTTGAAATTGATCAGAATCCAGATTGCAAGTAGAATGGGGGAGACAATGAAAAGGGAATTAAGCATTTATATAATGCAGATGTTCTCAAAATTATTTGGCCTACTACTCCCTTTTATAAATAATTGCATAGTACCCCCCTGGAAATCTACTGTTTTTTTGAAATTTGAATAATTTCAAAAAAAATATAAAATATTTTTGAAAAATGACACATCTTAAATTTAATAATTTATTGTAAAAATTTGTGGTTTTTTCCTGCATTGAAATTTTGATGATGCAATATTACTTCATGTAATCTTATAGTATTGTATTGTAAACAAGTCATTACATGCACATATTCCTACCAATGTATGCTGGTGACAATGAGCAACAGGCTCACCTGCCAACACTTGCTTGTTAAGACCTGTTGGCGGACTTGACCACTGATCAGTTATAACTTACATTTTGTGTGTTTATTTGAAAAATAATGTAATCAGTACGACTTTAACTGTGTTACACAAAGATGAAACATGTATGAACGGATTTTCAAAATTCTCTTTTTTTCTTCACCTCCTTATTTTTATTTAATGCCCCCCAATTGCACCTGAGGCTATTATCGCCCCTGGATCATGCCAGTGTCCCCCAAGGGGCTGTATCACCCACTTTGGGAACCTATGATTAGTGCCTACTATCTGTCAGGCACAGTGCTAAGTGCTTTACAAATATTATCTGATCCTCAGATCAACAACCCTGGAAGGTAGGTGCTTTTATTATTCCTATTTTACAACTGAGAAAACTGAGGCAAACAGAAGCTAAGTGACTTGCCCAAGATCGCACAGCTAGTGATTGAGCCTGGATTTGAACCCAGGTCTTCCCGACTTCAGGCCCAGTGATCTATCCACAGCTCTACCTCAATGGCTGTAAAGGGAGCTGAAAAGAGAGGAGATAGAGCAAGAATAGACAACTTTTTCTAGGAGTTTGGCAGAGAGAGGGAAGAGAATAGAGGACAATGCCTTGAGGGCATAGTAGGGTCAAGTGAGGACTTTTAAGGATAGGAGAAGGGATACAAGATACTTGTACAGAATTGTGACTTCTGGTACTGAAGACGTACAAATTCCTTCACTTGTTGTATTTGTCCCCAATAAATACATCTTTGCTTTTATATCATTACTACATTTTTTTTTTTTGGCTTTTATATACACTTGCTATGGGAGGTAGGGAAAAGAGAAAACTAAATGATTTAGCATGAGCTGCCATTATTTGTCCTATAGCCAAAAGATATAGAATATTAACAAAAAGGAACAAAAATTTGAAAACTCAGTGATTTATCTGGTGATAAAAACAAATATTGCTGTGTTGTTGAGAAGAGGGAGGGAGAAGAGATACTCACCCCTGATACAGTTTTTACTCCAACTGAATCAATAAAATTGACTTGTGAGAAATCCAAAATCATAGTGTGAACGTTTGGCCCTGGGGGCAAAAACCTCTCCAGTTCTTCTGGAAATGTCTTTTGGACCAGTGAATCAATTGTCATCGGTTTTGCATTTTCCTCTATCTGTTCTTCTTGTTTTTCCTCTTCTTCCCCACCTGCTTCGGCATCCTCATCCTAGAATTAGAGCAGACCTGAGTTCTACTACAGTACTTCCATTTTGTTACCATACATGACTTAAAATTTTGATTTTGAATTCTTATTACTAGCTTCCTTTTGCTGGAACAACTTTTCCTAACCTTGTTACATAAAGAATGCAACTCATTAACACTTGATTTTTATTCTCTGTCATTCACATCTAGCCTTCCCTCCCAAGATGGTATTTTTTACATAATATTTGCTCACTATTTGCTGAATTAATTAATGAATAACTTAGGAGAATAAAGATGAATAGTTATAGATAATGAAGGTTTAAATGGATGAAGAGCTCAAAGGGCCTTTTATTTCTCCAACTGAGTAAGCTTAGAACAAGGGATGATTGCTTAAAATGACTGGGGCGCTTTTCTTTAAAAAGGAATAACTCTTCCACAGTTTAGTGATAGCACCTCAAAAATAGTCTGAATATAAAATTATTAAGCACCTTGTATGTGCAGAACATGGTGCTAGTCAGTGGGGCAGATGAGGTCCCTGCTTTCATGGAGCTTGGAGTATAGGTATAGATGCACAAATACCTATAACATAAAATCATACCTAAGTGCATCAGAGGAGAGCAAACCACATTGTGTGTGAACTCCTAGATGAAGGAAGGTCCTCAGACAATACCTACTGGAAAGGTGACGCCTGAATCACACCTTAATGGATGGATAGGAATTTAAAGAGCACGCTGGTGTAAAAAACTGATCTCACTCCTTTTTAACTACCTTTACCAAATATCTTCATTATAAAATGACATCAATTCTTTCTCATTGTCCCTTTTTTAGAAGCAGTATGTTGTGCAGCTTAATAAAGTGAAGAGACATTTCAGATCAAGAAGGTATAATTTATTGACTACTCACAACTTTTACAACAGAAGACTGGGGTTTGCCTTTGGTCCCTAATTCCTTGGCATGCTTCTTCAGGACTTTTCTCCTTGCTGCCATTATACGTGCTGCGTTAACTCCTGTCTTTAAGGAAACACAACATTACGTGCATATGCAGATCTGTTTCCTGGCTACCAAAGGTCCACCCAGATTTACCATTCTAACCTTCTTCAAAGGGAATTTGATTTAAATTTTTGTTGTTTAGTCATTTCAGGCAGTCACGTCCGACTTTTGGGGTTTTCTCTGTAAAGATGCTGGAGTAGTTTGCCATTTCCTTTTCCAACTCATTTTACAGATGAGGAAACTGAGGCAAATAGGGTTAAATGACTTGCCCACAGACACAGAGCTAGTAAGTATCTGAGGCTGGATTTGAACTCAGGTCTTCCTGACTCCAGGTCTGTGCAACTTTCCTTCAGAGGGTGGAGATTATGCTGATAATGAAAAAAAGACTGATTGCCCTTCAGATGCATTTAAGGAGCTATAGAAAAGATGATTAGCATGTGCTGGCCACTGTCTCACTATGTAGCATTAGTGTATAATGAATGACTACCATTACTGCTATGGGAGGTGAAGGCATGATTTAGTGGGGGTGGCGGTGGGGGACAAGGTAAAAGGAGGCAGCTAGGTGGCTCAGGGGATAGACCTAAGTCAGGAAGTCAGGAAGACCTAAGTTCAAATCTGGCCTCAGATACTTACTAGCTGTGCGACCCTGGACAAGTCATTTAATCCCTGTTTGTCTTTATCCACTGGAGAAGGAAATGACAAATCACTCCAGTATCTTTGCCAAGAAAACCCCATGGACATTATTGGGGTGCCATGATCCACAGGGTCATGAAAAATCGGACCCACATGAACAACTGAATAACAACAAAGGTAAAAAGGCACCTTATTCTATATATGGAAACCCTCCAGATTTGTGGATTTGTACTTTTTACTCTCAATCTGACAACTCTTCATAGCTTCAGCTGTGTCCTGATACCCAACCTGAACCCTGGGCACACCACTCTTTTGAAATCATTTGGTACAAGATATAAAACCAGAGATTAATAACTGATAGGGATTCTCTTCCTGATATAATAATAGGAATTAAAATAGCATTGAAGAAGAGAAAGCTTTGGAGAAAAACTGGCAGCTGTTTGAAATATTTTCTCCTGGGTACAAATTCCTTTTGTGCCTAAGTTTTATTATCTGTACAAGATTTCTTTATATGAGTAGAATCTCTAGAATGTATCCCTCTAAGCATGTGATTGCTATTCTGTATAGTGGGCAATACTGTACGAAGTTTTAATATAAGCAAAAGGAGAAAACTCTATTTGAAGAGCAAGAACTTTGAAAAAGATTCTTTTACTCACCTTTCTACTTAGTGCATTACTGTACAAGTCACTATTGGCATAATAAATTGGGGCATTTATTTGGAATATTTTTATCCCAGCATGCTCTCTCACCTGAGGAATAAGATATTATTATACTTAAAGATACTCATTTCAGAATTAATGACAGTTTCTCCCTCTCCCAACTCTACCTAAAACAGTGAACTGTCTTGGTATCATGTTAATCATTATTCTGTTCAGTTCAAAATCTCCCCCTGCTCAATTCATATTCGAGAGAAATTAAAACTGAGAAAAACAAAAAGCTTAAGAATGGTTCAAAGGGTTGATTTTCCTTATATCTTTTTCATTTTGTTCTTTCTCTCAAAAATATAATTGAAGAATTGAATGTGGTAGAAAGAAAAGTAGAAGAGGAGGAAGTTGTGAAAGTTGATTTTAAGCAAAGGGAAAGGAGAATCAGATGAACTGAGAAAACTTGCTTGATTCAAAGTAGGTAGGAAGGAGAAGAATGGGAAAGGACCTTGAATATACTATATCAATGTTACTAACCATTATATCACATATATAAAATACATATTTTTTCTTTATATATACAGAGGCAATAATTTTGTCTCACATAGTTCTAAGAACAGTAACACTTTCCTAAAGAAGTATAGGTTTATCTAACTTGTGTTTTCAAACCTTTTTAAGACCACACACCTTCTGATTTGCTTTTCATGTCTCAAAATCCCAAATCTTGGTGTGACATAATTTGTATAAAGGTGATGAGGCAGACACATAAAACCATTTGATGTTATCATACTAGTTTTATGGAACCCTTATAGATGCCTCGTTGCACCTTGGGACATAATTTAGAAGCTAGGAATAGAACTAATAATTCTTGGGCCTTTTCTATATTATAGGGATATGATGAACATTGTAAAAGATTGGTGCTATTCTCTAATACCTGATTTTTTTTCCTGAGGTTTTCTTCAAAGAAATTCCAAGAACTTTACTGTATGTTAGCCACAAAACATTGTTCTAAAGAACATATTGCAAGGGACTTTGGGATCTTCAGAAGAAAAGGGATTTTCAAATTCAAGGAAATTTGAAGCCATCATTATTAACTATTAAAATGGAAGAGGAAAAGAATAGTTTCATAGCCTAAGAGTGTTATAAATTATTACACATCTACAAAATAAAATTATAGCAATACTCTGAAGTCAAAACAACAAAGACACACAAATCCACACCAGTTTCCCACCCATTCTCAGGATGTTGTGAATATTAATTAACACCTTATTTGTTGCATTTTGAAGGAGCAGAAATTGAGGTATAGACAAGTTAGGAATGGAAAGGGAAGTTCAAATTCCTCACTTTGACCTTTACCATCTCTTGTCCAAAACAGTAATAATGTTCAGCCAATAAAACCACTGGACTAAGAGTCTTTAAAAACTTGTAACATTTTTCATTGAACAAATGATATCTGAAAACAAATCTATGTACATACTTTAAAAAATATCCCTTCTAAGAGACATTAGCAACATATTCCTCCTATAGATGTACATCAAATAATTGTCAAGGACCTTTAGGACACAATCAATAGGGTATTTCCAGATGTTTATCAATGTAGTACCGTTTGGTTGAATTCTTTCATGATTTCCTCAATTAATTTTCAGCAAACATGGTAATAAATCAACATTTGGTACCTAGATACATATAGCACCATGCCAGGAAACTTGAATTGTCTTAGAAAGATTCTGAAGATCACCTGGCAGGATAAGGTATCAGACACTGAGGTCCTTTCTCAAACTAAACTGCCAAGCATTCAAACTCTACTGCAGACTGTGCAACTCCATTGGGCTGGCCATGATGCCAAAGGTACTCTTGCCTAAGAGACTATTTTACAGACAACTCATACGAGGCAAGCACTCACATGGTGGTCAGAAAAAGCTACACAAGGACACTCTCAAGGCGTCTCTTAGGAACTTAGGAACTGAATGCATGACATGGGAGACATGGCACAGGACTGCTCAGCATGGCGTGCCTTCATCAGAGAAGGTGCTATGCTCTATGAGCAAAGCAAAATTGAAGTAGCTCAAAAGAAATGCGAGATGTGCAGATTTAGAGAATCTTCCCCACATGTTCACATGGACTATTTATGCCAGACCTGTGGCAGAGCCTTCCGAGCTCATATTGGCCTGATCAGCCACAGCTGGACACACTGTAAGTTGATTCTAACGCAATGATGTCATTTTGGTCCTCTTCGAGAACAAAGGACGACAACCAACCAACATTACCGTGGTAAAGCTTGGCCAGAAAACGGTGGGTGATATAAAATAATAACAATAAAAAATAAAATAATAACAGTAATAGCTAATATTTATATAGTGCTTACTTTGTGGCTGGCACAGTGCTAAGAACTTAAGAGGAAAAGAAAAGGCAAGTTTGGCAGTGGTATAATCTGTTATTTTGGACACAAAGAAAACACAAAAGAAAATAGAGAAGTGGCTGGCATCAAGAAGTAGTCTCTTAAAAATAAAATTTACAAGTATGAAACAGGAATTAAAAATACGTGGAAAGTGAAAAAATTTTAACTATAACTTTTGCAAATAATCCAATACATTAAAAATACTGTATATTTCAATTAAGTAGGGTTTATCCTCCCTAGAACACAAGACTGGCATACGTAAAGAGGAAGAATTATTTAATTTAGTATGGTGAGAAAAATATTAAGAATTTTATATTTATTATAATAGAGGCTGAGAAAATTGATGCAATTCAACATATTTTCAAAATGAAACCATGGATGGTTTTTTCCTTAATACTGATAAGGTATATACGCTTAAAAACAGTCAACCATATTTAATGAAGAAACAAGAGCAAAGTAAGGATTTCTCATCTTCATTCCTATTTAATGTACTAAGTACGGCTTATCGTGGCCAAATCACCATCTAGTTGGCCACATTACTGGTGATGAGACTTTTTATACTTAGCTAGGGTGGTCCTCAGGTAACAGACACAGTCTGTTGCTAGCATAGTACTCAAAGCTTGGTAGAACCTGCCAAAACTTGTTTTCCTCTTGCATAACTCACTTCAATGCAACCAAATGGAAGAGAACTTTTATGTGGGCTATGTTAACCTAAAGTAATATTAGAAATGTTGGCCATAGCTATAAAGGAAGAAATAAAAGGTATGAAATTAGAGATAAACATTATATGTATAGGTTGTGCGTATAAATGCACATACAAATATGTACACCCATGTATATATGCACATGTATGTTATATGTGAGTGTGAGTGTGTGTATGTGTGCGTGTGTGCATGCATATATGATACTGTTGTTCAATCAACTGTGGTCCTGTTTGGTGTTTTCCTGGCAAAAAGATATTGGAGCGGTTTGCCATTTCCTTCTCTAGCTCATTTAACAGATGAAGAAACTGAGGCAAATAGGGTTAAGTGACTTGTCCAGGGTCACACACATAGTAAGTGTCTTATACTGGATTTGAACTCAGGTCTTCTGCCCTTCAGACCCAGCACTCTATCCACTGCACCACCTACCTGCTTATATATGTGATATATGTGTGTCTGTGTGTTACTTGCTGATGACATGTTTATAGATTTAGAAAATCTAAGGAAATTAACTTCAAATTTACTAGAGGTAATGATTTCAGCAAAGCTACAGGATATACATTTACAAAACCCAATTACATTTCTATATGTTATTAGATCGCTGTATAAATAGTTAAGGATAACTTAGTAGTACGGTGGACCACATTGGTAAAAGGACACCAACAGTTTACATTCCCAAATAATATGGGGAAATATAACTCTGGCAATTAAAGAAATGAAAATGTAAAAAAGACTAAAGTATTACTATACATCTACAAAATTAACAGTTTTGTAAAAGTAAAAATAATAAAATTCAGTATTGGCAGTGGTATGGGTAGGGCCTATGTAGGCTTCATAGCGTAATGAAAAGACTTTTGCACTTGGTGGGCTAGGTATAAATTCTGGCTTTTATAGCTTACCAGCTTACTAGTGTGTGTGTGTGTGTGTGTGTGTGTGTGTGTGTGTGTGTGTGTGTG